GAAACTTCACAAGCTTTTTGCAAAGGTTTTGCGTTTGGAATAGATTGTCCCGAGAATTTTTCCTTTTTCATTCTCGGCATCTATTTTAGCAGCTTTTTGTTCAAGTCTTTCAATGATTTTATTTTGTGTCGTTTGTTGTTTCAAAATCTTCATTAAAAGAGCTTCATAGTTACTTTTAAGTTGCCCAACTTTTTCTTGATTTTGAACCGGAGGGATATGTGTATTATTCATAGGATTCCTATAATTCTGAAAATTATTGTTTTGCCTCATTAATCCATTAGGGTTTCTATTCATATTATTTCCTTGAAAGTTTCGTGGGTTTTGGTTGAAAGGTTTAAGATTATTATTGTTTCCCCAACGAAATCCTTGAGGATTAGCCCAAGTTGGATTGTAAGTGTTGCCTTGAGGCGCAACATCATTTCTATTATCCCAAATGTCATTTACTTGTTCTTGTTCGTAACGAGTGAAAGGACAATTGTCTTCATTATGATCGGTTCCATTACAAACTTGACACATTTCATTAACGTTCATTAGGGGATTTGGTTGGTTACTTTGTAGGGATAGAGCTTCTACCTTTTTAATTATGTTTTGGAATAAAATTTTAACTTCACCATCACTTTCTATTTTAACTGAGACTTCATAGACTCCAGGACTAGGATTGGGATTATTACCCCAATGTTGAGAATTATCCGCAAGCTTAATGAAGAAATCATTAGCTTGAATCGCAGTTTTACTAAGGAAAGTACCACCGTTCATAGATTCAATCATTGCACTAGCGGTAGGATTAAGACCATTGTAAAAACATTGAACGAGAGTATCTAGAGAGATTTGATGATGTGGACATTGAATTTGTAACTCTCTGAATCTTTCCTAAGCTTTATAGAATTCTTCAGTATGTTCTTGTTTGAAAGTTTGAATTCTATTTCTTAAGTTCTATGGTTCTTGACATGGGATAGAATTTTGTAAGGAATTTGGAGTTCATTTGATCCCATGTTTCAATAGAATTTCTAGCTAAAGAATGTAACCATTAAGATACTTTGTCATGTAGAGAGATCGGGAATAACCTTAAATGGTTACCATCTACACCTAACTTATTCTCATTGAGAGTTGAGCATATACGGACGAATTGTTGTAGATGAGTATAAGGGTTTTCACGCTCATGACCAGTAAACTTAGGCAACATGTTAATGATGCCATAGTGAAGTTTGAAATCGGCTCCATCTTCAAGTGTGGGCAAAATGATGTAATTCGGCAGTCCACGCGACAAAGGAGCAAAAAAATCACGTAGTGGCTTTTTAGGAATAACCATTTCTTCAGGAGATATCGAGTCACTACTTTCTAACTCGAAGGAACTATTTGCTATTCCTTATGGATTATTATCTAAGGCTATTGTGCTTACTTCTAACTTACTTTTAACTAAAGAGTATATGTAATACCGGAACGTAAAAGCATAAACTACACTAGTTAAACTAATTAATTTAACTAAACTAACACCATTAACTAAGGACACAAACCAATCAATTTCACACTTCAAATACTGAAAATTAAACCTCTTATGTGAGATTCGAGGTGTTAAGAGTACACGTACCTTTTTCTCTTGAACGCACGCAAACGAGCAAATAATATTCAATACGGACTAACTACGGAATGTAAATAGTCTAAAAGTGATTGAAACACGTACCTTGGTCCAAACCGATAAAAATCTGAATTTTTTAAAAATTTTGGAAAATTCGATAAATCGGATTTTTTTTCTGAACTTCTCTAGGGTCGAGTGAGGCGAGTTCCACAGAAATGTCCCAAATTTCCTGATTTTCTGCATTTTTTTTTCAAAGGGCGGGCAACGATTTGCGGGCTTGAATGTCTTGATTTTCGTCTGGAGGTACCTTGGTTCTTTTTAGAGTGGCAACGGCGCCAATTTGATTTTCTGCTAATTTTGGTAAAAGTTTTACTTGTGACACGTACAAAACAAGCTAAGCCTTTGGACTCAACTCACTCGACTACACACTCACTCACGCTCGTCTTACACAATCAATGAATATCGAAATAAATTTATAAAGTTTCCTTGTGCTACTAATTAAACTACGAATAGTATAATAATAAGAAAAGGGGTATCGAATCCACTCACCCAAGAATTAGGGAACTAAATACAAACTAGAAACAAGACGAATGATTATGTCGTTTATGGAGGGACTTATGAAAGATTGTTGTTTTGAAAGAGTTTTGATTTGTAGAAGTAATTTTGAATAAAACTATACAAAATTAAATCAAATAAAGCGATACTAGGGTTTGTGAATATATATAGAATGAAGGTGGGGTTTTACTTAACCGTCTTATGTAAATATCAAACTTTCTAATGCATTTTGTTTCCCATGCTCCAATTATCTCTATCTCTATGCCATAGTTGGTAGTGAGTTCCCTCTCGTTTCGATGCTGAAACTCACCCATCCTAAGAACCACTAGAGTCCTTGCAAAGAATTCTTCTAACAATTCCTAAGGGCCTCAAGATGTAAAATAATAACCCTCAACCTCTCATCTCAATGTCGTCGATAAAGTAAAATCTTACACCTTTCTACTAAGGATGTATAATTAATCTATTTTTTCTCTCTCGATGCCAAAACAAGTTAACGAGCGCACATGAGGTATGAAAGTCTCTCACATGTAAAATGATCTCTCCTTTTATTTATGGTATTAAAAATAAAGAGTAAAAACTATTCTAAGGTGATCAGTCCTAAAATAATTACCTTTCGTGCATGAAAAACGAAACACATATAGAAAATTCTTCTACTTACCTAATAGGCTTGTAAAACCCCAGGAAGGGTTTATCTCATGGTGCTGGAGGTGATGATGATGATGTTTGTTGATGTAGAAGACATAGAATAAAATACGGAAAGTAAAAATAACATAAAAGAAATAAAACTAAAGACTTGTATTAATAAAAACGAATCTTCTTCATAAACAAAACCTAACCCTAAGTTGAAACTCTCAATGTTGCATAAAGCTTTCTTTAATTTCATGGAAATTGAAGTATATATAGACATAGAGTCACATTCGTAGTAAAACACTTCAAAAACAGAAGAAACTTCTTGATTAGCTTTGAGGCGGTTCCACCACTTTCTGGAATTCAAACTTCACAGGCTGGGCCTTGGGAACATGGAGAAGAGATCCATAAAACACTATCAAGGTTTGTACAAAAGTCAATCCGAGTCAACTCGCTTGGGGCGAGTTGGGTAAGCCTGGCAACTCGCTTGGGGCGAGTTGTACAGATTTCAGTTTTGCAGTTTTATCTGACTTTGAGCTCCTTTTTGACTGACTTACGCTACTACAAATGCTTTGATATTTCACAGTCTTGAAGTTGAGATTATGATCTTTCCAACGTTATATTCGGATAATAAATCGGAGTTCTCTAACTCTATTTTCTCTTAGCTCCAAAATGCTTCATTTTTAGCAGCTTTTCTACGGTTTTTTTTTTTCCTTTTGCACTTTTGTTGTGTCTTTGAACTGAAATGTGGTAAAACTAACAAAACCACGCATATCATATCACTTTAGAGATAAACTTAAGACAATTAGAGGTAAATAAAGGGGATAAATAAGCACTTTTGAGCGCTTATCAGAAGCAATTTGTAATTATATAAGATTATCATTCAGAATATTGTATGATTACATTATTATCATGGGTTGGGTTGTTTAAATACCTCGAGATCTGACATTGAGTCATAGGGATTCATGTTATGATTTTGGGGCGTTACAGATCAACTAGACATCTCCAACGCTATCCTCCTCAAACGCTCCGATTAATTCCTCACTTGTTTCCTATAGAGAGGAAAAGGGGAAGACGTTAAATGCCAACAAGTTATACTTGAGGTTCGATCTTGATCCCGGGGATGGAATCAGCGCACCCAAGATCTACAAACAAATATACACATATTCACATACATCATCAATATCAGCATCATCGTCATCAACCTGTCCTTTTTATAGTCATTCAACTATCTTTACTCTCCAATCATACTTTAGGGTTTGAACATGCCAATACCCATCATCACTTGTACCAAAGTACATCTTTCCAGTATATATATATAAAAGATTTATTGTTTTTATTCTTTTTGAATTATAAATCATGGGTCTAAAAATGGATAGTGTGTTTGATGTAGTTGTTGAGATACAACGACGTGGGCCAAATCTGAACATTAGCATTCTAGCCTTAGATGCAACCTCCCCTCCCTAAACCCCAACACACCTTGGCGGATGCTTATTATGGGAAGATTGCTGCAGACATTGAGAGGGACTTCGATTTGTCTGCCCGTCAGACGGCTGTGATAGAATGACTTCAGACAAAGCATGCCAAAGACTTCCTCCTCACCATTCCAATGGAAAGGCTAGGACAACGTATGACGACAGTTGAGTATCGAGCCATTCTTCGGTACCATCTTATGATTCTGTTGTTTATAGACGGGGATCTTTGCCCAGTATGCAAGAAGAACAGAATAAACGCCCTTGGGGATCATGCAGTGCACTGTAAGTACTACCCTGATTTTAAATAAAGACATGATCATGTTCGGGATATATTGTATGATGTGTTTGGCAAGCAGGAATACTGGTTTATAAAGAGGCCTCGGTCAACTTTCTTACAGATCCTACGGAAGGCAAGTCGAAACTACGCCCAACTTATGTTTTGATTTACAACTGGTTTGAAGGAAAACATGCATGTGTTGATTTCACAGGGGCATCTCCAATGGTGGGGTTCGGTAAGGGTGTCTTTGAGGTAGGACAAGCAGCCATTAACGCCGTAACGAGTAAGGTACAGAAGCACAAGGGAGCATGTGAAGCTAACCAATATTGCTTCATCCCATTTGCTTTTGACACCATTGGATTCTTAAGACCTGAGGCGGTTGGACTTCTCAAACGACAACTAAAGGTTATGGATAACAATATTATGACGGCAGGTTGTAATGAATATGTTTTTCGTAGAGTTGAATTTGTCATTTAGAAAAGATTGGCAGTGCGGTGAGCGTGCATCGAACACACAACTTTCAGATCTTCGGTCTGACGCTCTCCCAACTGAGATATCACCATTACGTTGGTACAACTGTGCTAATAATAAATATGACACAAAAGTTTCAGTCTGCCCACTGAAGTTAAAGGATTCACATTGGCCATGGTTTCTTCTCATTTCTTGTCTGAGTTCACTTGGAATCATGTCTTGTAACGAATAAATATTTCTAATGTTCGTGTCGGTGTGTAGGGCAGAAAATCCATGTAGCCATATACATTTATGATGTTTTTATTAATACTAAAATTTGGACCAAATCAGATTAACATATTCCCCTTAGTATAGGAATGGGTGATTCATTTTAGGTACTTAACATAATTGTTTTAGAGGGCGCAATTTTAATCCACGTACAATTCTTTCTTCTAATGAAGCACATTTTGCAAGTAGTGTATTAGCTTTATTAAGGAGGGTATGAAACTATGAATGTGTAAAAGAAGCACTCTATGCAAAATGAGGTGCTTAACATAATTGTTTTTTAAAGGGAGTTAATTCTATTTGAGCTGAATTTTATCCATTGTTCCTATACAAAAATGATTGTAGAAACAACAAATTCTTCCATCAATAAGAAAAAACTAAGTTTCCAAGGGAAATTAGCAACATGTTCCCAGAAATTGTTCCTTTAATTAGCTTGGAGTCTTGGACTTACGACGTTCTCAGCCTGTCTTGGTTTGTTATTCTGACGGGTACGTCGTGCTTCTTTCACCACTGGGAAAAGGCATCTACTTACATCCATTACTTGGACCTCCTCAAGGTTTAAAAAACCGTACATCGATACCAGGGTGTACAAGGTTCCAAATCCCTCCTGCAGAAACTAGAATACTTAAAATCATCCCTAAGCTACCAAGTGCAAAGTTAATGAACCACATTGCAGTAAATCGTTTAGGCTTCTTAATAGTAATCCACATGAAACATGGATAAGCTAAGGTGAGAGGCAATGCAATCCCACCAATTAGACCTGCTAAGCCTCTTAAAAAAGGAATGGCTACCGCGATAAAGAAAGTTAAACATCCAAAGAATACTCTGAATGCAACTTTAATCCATTTTGAGCAGGGTTTCTTCTTCCTACTTGTGTATGCAAATGTCAAATTGTCCAAAGTTGGCATTGCGTAAATTTGGAAAGAACATACGCAGTGAATCAACACTAATAGAACTATTATTGCCAATACTATTCTCGAAGTGTCATGCTGGTGGAATGTGTGAAGAGCATATAACATTCCTCCACGCACACCTGTAGGTATCTGAAAATACAACACAAAGATCCATCATTAGCCCTGAAATGTTAGTTTAGAATGCAATTTGAGTTTAAGGTTGGAGAAGCGCAATAAGCTATAATAATTTCGAGCACAACATATGAATGATATGATAGGTGTTGATTTATAGGCCAGATCAGTAGATCACTACCAAATGCGCGCTTTTGTGATGTGAAAAATTGGTGGTGGATATATTCTTTCCAATGGGAATTGATGGTGGATTTTTTTTTAAAACATGCTTAAGACATTTCTTAATTTGTCGGCTGAATGCTTAAGAAAGCTTAATTTCTCACCTTTAAATCCCCCTATAAGCCTCTCACTTGCTTTTAGATCTCTATTACTCCACTTTTAATTGTTACTAACTTTTATTAGAAAAAACAAAATTGCAAAATGAGGTCACCCCTCTACCCTCTCCAAATTCCACGTCGCATTGGTAATGCTTTAAGTAAATATCCAACAATCAAATCAACTAAAGGTCATAAAAACAAAACCAATAAAAATGAAAAAGATACGATGGTGGAGCTTCGATGTGCACAAGCTTTAAGTTGAAAGCAGATAGGACCCAGTGTTATTCTATCTTCTTCAAATAATTCACTTCAGGTTAGGTCCCTCTCATGCATAATGCATGGAAAGCCTACAAGCTCTGGTTTTACTTTTGAAGGAAACCCTCCGGACGCGTTCGACTTCTGGAGATAAACAACACCATTTCAGAATGCATCCATGCAAGACCCAAGTGTACGTTTATCTCCATGAAGTATGAATGCATGAAAAATGCGGGAATCCATTATTGAAAA